TATTTCCAGTTAACCATTATAGAGAATCCAAAAGGTACCATTTGAAGAATAGAAAAGTACCAAAGAGTTCCCACTTCAAGAATATTACTCAGTCAGGACCATGTATGTTAAAATTTATATTCCTTGGTTGAATATTTTAGAAAATTCAAAAAGTACCATTTATGAGATAAAAAGTACTAAAAAGTTCTCTTTTAAAGAATCTTATTCAATGAGGACCGTGTATGTTTAATAATCATGTGTTTTGAATTCATATTATAGAACATACAAATAGTATTGAAGTGGAATAAATTCTACCTTTGTGGAAAGTACTAATAAAAATAGTACAATTTTTTCCCTTTTCGCTTAAAAATATACTGTTTTGAGAATTAAATTTACAAAATATTCCGTATTTAAATCTCTATATCACATATAAAACACAACCGTTTCAGATCTGCATTCATTTGTTTCAGAAAAATTGTGCTTGCAAAAAGTATCAAACAATTTACTCGAATTTGGTTTTATATAGGCCTTAGTACTCGAATTCCAAAATAATATAAATACTTATAGCTTATTTTGTGTGAGTAAATAAACTTAAATAAAATTAAATTTCCCGTTGTTCCCCAGTGAAATAGCAAAAAATTTTGTTTCAACTAATATCACAGAGTTAGTCCGTAATTTAATAGTCCGCAATAAATAGAAAAAGTTTTCTTAATGTGCTACAAAAAGTACCAAAAATACATATTTCTCCCTTTTACACCCAAAAAGGACTAAATTTTAAAAAAGGACGAAACAGGTGTCTCCTAATTTTGGGAGATATATATTCAAAATATTTATGGTTAGGTTAGGTTGATAGGAGGATGTATACTACATCAAATCCGAAGAAATACACCTAGGCCACTATGGGGCCTGTTGTGCGCTCCAATCATGAAAAAATGTATTATTTTTCCATGTTCAGAAATTCAGTTTCCTGGACGTAATTCCTAGGAATCTTCCAATCGGTGTTGGTTAAGAATGTTATTTCCGGAATAAGATCACTTCCAAGATATTTGGATCTAACTTCGACGAATGCCTGACAATGGCAAAGAAAGTGCTCCAGAGTTTCACTGTCCTCTCCACATGCTCTACATTCGTCTGAATCCGCACGTCCAATTTTGTATAGATGTGCACGTAATCCTGTGTGTCCACTCAGAATACGTACCATCATACTAACCTCAGACTTGCTCATTTTGAGGAGATTTTTCGTCTTGCTCTCATCAGGGTCACCCTATAGAAACTTTGTGGTTCTACCCACCGTTTCACTATTCCAAGAGGCCTTATGGGATTCTCTCATCCATATTTTTAATTCAGCTTTTGTTTGCGTCGAATGGTTTTGCGTTTGTCAGGTTAACTACATCGAGCTCCTTTCCCTTTAAAGCTATTACATTCGCCCTTTCGTTGCCGACTACTCCCGAGTGGCCTGGTACCCATATGATGTGAACCTTACCTCTGGGAGAGTATTCAGTTAAAGCTTTCTTACAATCCAATACGGTCTTAGATTTAATTCTATCACCTGATATCGCCCTAATTGCCTTCTGGCTATCGATAAATATATTAAGCCCTGTGGGCGCCATATTTATTCTAATCCAATTTACACATTCCGTTATTGCTCGTAATTCTGTCTGGAAGTTTGTGTTATGATTAGGTAAAAGGTGGTATTTTTCTGTTTCTGGGTCTTCAATATAGAACTCCAGGCCCACTTTGTCCCCTAATTTAGAGCCATCCGTGTAGCAACGGATTCCTACTGGTATTTGCTCCAAAGTTGACCAAGACATTCTATCTGGGATTAGCGTTTCAAAGTTTCCAAAATATTCTGTGTCTGGTATGCGATCAGGCACGTCCGATGAATGTGTATAACCTTCCAATGTGTCCAGTATACATTAATGACGTGTCCTATAACCGTTTTTGGCCTAAAGTAAAGAGCCGTTCGGCTGTAAGCGCCGCCTCATATCTTATATATGTTTCAATAGGTGGAATATCTAGCAACGTTTTTGGTTGAAGTAGTACACATGGCACCACTTATACCCAAGCAGCATGTAGGCTGAACTCCCTGTAGTAGTTTGATATTGCACTTTTTGTCCAAAGCAGTCCACCAAATTATTGAAGCATAAGCTAGAATTGGTCTAATTACACTTTTATAAAGCCAATTTGTCATAGTAGGACTAAGACCCCATTTCATGCCTATGGTTCTCCTACATCTATAAAAATGTTATTTTGTTTATAAGTTAAAAAGTTATAAAGGGCAAAAAAGGTACCAAAATCACATTTGTTACCCATTTTCACTACTTAAAAGTACGAATTTCCAAAAAATACGAGACACCCATCTGCTTATTTTCAGTGTAGATACAGGTGCATGTAAAATTTTTCTTGAATCACTAATTAATTAGGTAAGATAATTAAGAAAAACTGTTTTACCGTTTCTTCCCCTTTTTTTACCCCTAAATTTACATATTTTCCAAAAATGCCGCCTTAGTGGATCTACATAACCAAAAACACATCTACTGTCAAAATTTCATGATTCTATGTTCAGCCGTTTGGGCTGTGCGATGATGAATCAGTCAGTCAGTAAAGCTACTCTTATATATATGTATACTAGCTATACCCAGTGTGCTTTGCTACTCTAAAAGCAATATAAATAAAAAATCTTCTTAATAATTTTGAAGATTCTAACTGTAATGTTTTCCAGAGATACATTTTTCCGAACGTTAATTAAGATTTTAATGTAATCGATGACAAATTAAAAAAAAAAACAAGTAAGAAATATAGTCGGGCTAGGCCGACCATATAATACCCTACACCTTTGACAAAAATATAATGAGATTTATTTGCCATAATAAAGCATTTAAATTGAATTTTACCTTGCCTCAGATATACATACTTAAGCCGTTTATTGTTGAAAAAAATAGTGGACATTTAAGTGAAATTTTAATGGGGGCTTTTCATAGGGGCTAGGGTCATATGAGGACCTATTATTATGGAATTCGTGAGGGTCATCAAATATTGTATAGAACCTGGTTTTTGCAGCTTTTTGTCGAGATATGAGTATATTAAACATAATTATGAACTTAAAAGCCCTATTCGGCGGGTTCAGTTGTATGGCGGCTAGGTGAAATAATGGACCGATGTAAACCATTTTCAACAAGCTTTGTTTACGGTACCATAAAATATCATGTGCCAAATTTCATTGAATTATCTCCAAAATTGCGACCTGTAGTTTGATTACAAAGTTTAAAAGCCCTATTCGGGGGGTTCAGTCGTATGGAGGCTAGGTGAAATAATGGACCGATGTTAACCATTTTCAATAGGCTTCGTCCCTGGGACAATAGAAGATCATGTACCAAATTTCATTGAATTATCTTCAAAATTGCGACCTGTAGTTTGATTACAAGCTTTACATGGACGGACGGACAGACGGACAGACGGACGGACATAGCTAAATCGACTCAGAAAATGATTCTGAGCCGATTGGTATACTTTAAGGTGGGTATAGGACCAATATTATTGTGCGTTACAAACATCAGCACAAACCCAATATACCCTCCCCACTAAAGTGGTGTAGGGTATAAAAAATCGAATATTTTTCCGGATATACGAAAATTTGTATTTAATTCATATAGGCCAAGACCCCATTGAAAGTCCGCCTGTTATTCTCTAAATGTTCACATAAATGTCAAAGATCTTCATGTAGAATTTGAAGATTCTAGCTCTAATAGTTTCTCAGATATACGAATTTTTCTATTTAATTCATATGGGAACTCACAGCCCCCAGATGAAAGTCCGCCCTTTTTTTCTCCAAAATGTTCATATGTATAATAAAGTTCTTCTTGCAATATTTGAAGAATCTTGTTCTATTAGTTTCCCAGATAAGCGAAATTTTGTATTTAATTCATATGTGAGGTGCCAAACCCCCCCCATTGAAAGTCCGCCCGTTATTCTCTGAATGTACACATGAATGTCAAAGTTCTTCAATTAAAATTTGAAGATTCTAGCTCTAATAGTTTCTCAGATATAATAATTTTCCTATTTAATTTATATGGGGGCTCCAAGCCCCCCCCATGACGAAAGTCCGCTCTTTTTTCTCCAAAATGTTCAGATGAATATTTAAGTTCTTAGTGCAAAATTTGAAGAATTTAGTTCTATTAGTTTCCCAGATAAACCAATTTTTGTATTTTATTAATATGGGAGGTGCTGCTCCCCTCATGGGTAGTCCGCCAATTTATTTCCCAAAATGTTTACATGGATATTAAAGTTATTCGTGCAAATTTTTAATATTCTAACTGTAATAGTTTCCAAGATAAACGAATTTTTGTATTTAATTTATATGTGAGGTGCCACGCCCCCTAATGCTAATCCGCCTACTTTTTGTCTTAAATAATTATATTGATAATAATGTTGCTCCGACAAAATTTGAAGACTCTTACTATTATATTATCTCAGATACACTAATTTAATATTTTCTAAATGTGGGCGTGGTACGTCGCCCACATGAAATTTCAAAATAAAAAGTAGCCTATAGTTCCTTCCAGATATACAGGAAGAAACTGTTAAAATTGCAGGAAAATCGGTCCAGCCGTTTAGCAGTCTATAAAGCACAAACAAACACAAACATACATACATACAAACACACTTTCATTTTTATATATATAGATATATATATAGATAATATATAAGAAAGGTTGAACCTTGAACTTTCAGATTATATAACTAGTTTTGAATCTAAAGTTATCTTTGTGCCGGCCAAAAATCTTAATAACTTGATGTGATGAAGAAATTCTTGTCCTGTGATATTCATGCTTAAATACAAAGGATCCAGAAAGCTGCAATTAAGAATTTGTTCAAGTCCGAAATTTCAAAGCTGATGTATAACAGATTGTCAATATAAATCATGGTAATATTTCTAGGCGGAAAGTTACTATAAGTTATTATTAAAAAAATACTTAAATTTAATATATTTTTTTATAATTTATGAATATTTAGTTGTTTATTTTGTAAAGCTTAAATATTAGGAAAAAAAATATTTTATAATAGATCATAGAAAATACCCTTAAATATTGAATACTTAAAGTGTTTTTTTTTTTTTTTACTTTTACTATTTTATACTTTTTGATTACGAATAGTTTCGAAAATTTTGATTTGATTAAGACTATAAATTTCTTTAATAAATTTCATAAAAATTAACTACAAAATACATAAAACTTTTGTCATAAAATTAATACAAAAAAAATATTTATATAAAAAGTATTTAACTACAGAGAGAGACAGTTGTCGGAGAGAGAGCAAAAAGATTATATATCGTTAATGACACTTTGAAAAAAGCTACATAACTAAAGCTTTTCTTTGATATAACATTAGGTTCTCAAAGTGTAAACAGCGTTATAAGTCAGTTCATTTATTCTTAGGTAATTTGTATAGAAATTCTATAAAAAAATCAAATATTTTCAAGTTCAAGACTAAAATAATGATATGTTATAAAAAGTCCAAAAGAGTGGATTTGTTGTCTAAATATTTGGTTACATTTAAGATAATGGAGTTTTCAAAAACACTGACATTTGATTATTTTATGTATGTAAGACGAATAAGTACTTTTAAGATTAAGGGATTAAATACATAAATACTAGACATTTCAATCTTTCTATCATTCTTATTTTCGAGAATAATAACAATTTAATTGTTTTATATAATAATAATAATAATAAATATTGTATGTTTGCATATGGTATAAATGTTTGGAGAGTTTTCTTTTTGATTTTTAAATATCTTGTAGAGTTTTATTGATGAGTACATTTATTGTCCTTGGTTTTCTTTTTACGATCTTCGCTAGAATTTGATCGTCTTGTACCTTGAATTGGCATGTAAGGTGGAGTGGGACTGGAGTTTTGATCTGAAATCAAATAAAAATTTCACAGTTAATACAAATATATTCTTTCACATAAACCACTTGTCAATACATATATACCAAAATTTTGTGTTTTCGAACCGGCACTAAGGCGTGAATTCAAAGAGTCATGAGAGTGTATGGAATAGTTTTCAGATCTAACGGAAAAAAACATAACAATATTAATAAAAAGTTTTCTAAATGTAAAAATCTCCACCCACCTAGTCATGGAGTTCTGTGAATAACCCGTTTGTATTTGTGTCTCTGCTCCCACACTCATAGAGGCCGGTCTAGCACTGGTACTCGGTCCCGGACGGCAACTATCCACTGGCAGTGTATAGATATCATCTTCTCGATTGAGACTAGCATGACGAGCCTGTTGACTGGCAATGTCTCGTGTTAAACTGCCATTTGTTAGGCAACCATTTTGTGTGCGTTGCGTGTGTTTTAGGACATCTATTGGACTGGAATAGGCTTCTAAATCTAAGGGATCTTCTTGTGGTGGATCTCTTTGATATTGTAGACTGCCACCGTCATTGGACAGAGTGTGACTATGTCGGGATGAGGAAGTTGATGACGAAGTCATATAATCTTGCTGTGGCACTGGCTGTAGGGGGCCATTGTGTGGTTGTACACCATTGGTTAGAGTTTGTGGCTCCTTCTGTTGGCTCTTACGTTGACGTGCCTTCTCTTTGGCACGTTTTGCTTTGGCTTTTTCCTATAAAATGGAAGAAAATAGAGAAATTAGTAAAATGTGGTACAATGAAAGTAAATTTTTATAATTTTAGGTTCCCAAGGGTTCTTATAGTAAATTTGGCTGTTATATGGTTTCATGTGTTTCAGTAATTTTGTTATAGAGTAACGACCAACCTTTGGAAGGACCAAAATTCTGCTAAAAATTTCCATATAAAAAGTTTTTATTGAGAAAGTTTCGTAACAATTTCTATTCAATAAAAATATGATCTGATATCTGTCTAAATTTTGTTTAAAATCGAAATTTCGAAGGGTTCTGATATTGTTCTATTTCGTATATACTATTAATCGTGAAAAAATCTGAACAATATCCATTACTTTGTAAATTAACTTTTAAAATTTTGGGGTCTGGAAACATTTCTGTCAAATAGGCACACTGTCAGGATATAGGCGCACTTACAGATATCTTCTAAACCTAGTTAGTGTGATTAAAAGGAGGATTCATTTTACATCAGATTCAAAGAATTGCACCTAAGACACTATGGGGCCTTACAAGAGGCTCTGGGGGGAATCAAACCCACGACCTCTGGACTGACTATTTTTTGCCTTTTATAGGCATAGATACTACTTATATCTTCTTAAAATCCCAAACAACAATTCTTTTATAATTCTTTAACAAAAATTTAAATACAACTAAAATCGGGAAGGTCTCACGAATGAGCGAAAAGTGATCCTTTAATGATGAATGAAAATAAATCTATTCATACAAATATGAGTGTGAACATCAAATCACAACAACCGAAACTACATTAAAACAAACCATTAGTCCCGATGTCGTAACACGAGGAAACATTCCAGTTAATGCTTCCAAACGAACATTAGCTAAAACTTGACATAAACTTGGACGCCTAGTTACGGTGGCTACACCTGGTCTTAAAATTTCCCACGTAGTAAAATCCATCTTAGTTTAAGAGAACAACGAAAGCATATTAAAATAGGAAAGTTAAAAGAGAAATAGAAAAGAAATTTAAAAAATAAATTAAAGAAAATAGAGAGAAAAACATGAAGAGAATAGACTACTAAGCAATTGAGATGGACATGAGTTATTAAGGCAAATTCTCTTTGATCTATGTAAATTTTGTCAAAATGTTTTAGAAACGCAGGAGCTAAGTTCTTTTATGTTGGTGGAACATGGCTTCGTGATAAACGCGATATTGTTTTGTACTAAAAATTTAAACTTACTCTTTCTTGCAGCATTTTGGCTAATTCTTTATCTTGGGCCTCGATGGCCAACATACGATCTCTTTCCTCCAAGGACATGCCGTCATGGACTTCCAGTTCTGTAAACGACGGGCCAATAACTGAAATATATTAAATAAATAATATAATCAAATATTCATATGAAACCCTTTTTAAACTAGAACCGAACTAGAACCGAACTAGAACCGAACTAGAACTGAACTAGAACTGAACTAGAACTGAACTAGAACTGAACTAGAACTGAACTAGAACTGAACTAGAACTGAACTAGAACTGAACTAGAACTGAACTAGAACTGAACTAGAACTGAACTAGAACTGAACTAGAACTGAACTAGAAACTGAACTAGAACTGAACTAGAACTGAACTAGAACTGAACTAGAACTGAACTAGAACTGAACTAGAACTGAACTAGAACTGAACTAGAACTGAACTAGAAACTGAACTAGAAACTGAACTAGAACTGAACTAGAACTGAACTAGAACTGAACTAGAACTGAACTAGAACTGACTAGAACTGAACTAGAACTGAACTAGAACTGAACTAGAACTGAACTAGAACTGAACTAGAACTGAACTAGAACTGAACTAGAACTGAACTAGAACTGAACTAGAACTGAACTAGAACTGAACTAGAACTGAACTAGAACTGAACTAGAACTGAACTAGAACTGAACTAGAACTGAACTAGAACTGAACTAGAACTGAACTAGAACTGAACTAGAACTGAACTAGAACTGAACTAGAACTGAACTAGAACTGAACTAGAACTGAACTAGAACTGAACTAGAACTGAACTAGAACTGAACTAGAACTGAACTAGAACTGAACTAGAACTGAACTAGAACTGAACTAGAACTAGAACTGAACTAGAACTGAACTAGAACTGAACTAGAACTGCAACTAGAACTGAACTAAAACTGAACTAGAACTGAACTAGAACTCAACTAGAACTGAACTAGAACTCAACTAGAACTCAACTAGAACTCAACTAGAACTCAACTGGAACTGAACTAGAACTGAACTAGAACCGAACTAGAACTGAACTAGAACTGAACTAGAACTGAACTAGAACTGAACTAGAACTGAACTAGAACTGAACTAGAACTGAACTAGAACTGAACTAGAACTGAACTAGAACTGAACTAGAACTGAACTAGAACTGAACTAGAACTGAACTAGAATTGAACTGGAACTAAAACTGAACTAGAACTGAATTAGAACTGAACTAGAACTGAACTAGAACTGAACTAGAACTGAACTAGAACTGAACTAGAACTGAACTAGAACTGAACTAGAACTGAACTAGAACTGAACTAGAACTGAACTAGAACTGAACTAGAACTGAACTAGAACTGAACTAGAACTGAACTAGAACTGAACTAGAACTGAACAAGAACTGAACTAGAACTGAACTAGAACTGAACAAGAACTGAACTAGAACTGAACTAGAACTGAACTAGAACTGAACTAAAATATAACTAAAATATAACTAGAGTTGAACTTTGTTCCAAAATTGTTCCCAAACTTACCGCATCTTTCTGTTCCTGTTTCAATTTGGCACTCATCTCTTTGATCTCCTGCATGGGTAGACCGATTTCCTTCAAACTGGCATAATCACAGGGATCAACATATAACTCTATGTCGTCAGCATGTTCCTGAATCTGACGTTCTTTGGCAACAACAGAAGCTGCAGCAACACTACTACCACCAGCAGCACCGGTTCCATTTAACAAACCATTCATATTGCCCACCATTTGATCGTACTTCTCCGGTGAAAGTTTCTGAAATTTGTGATCATTTTTTAAAAGATTTTCATTAGATGGTGACATAAGACGATTGATTCTAGCACTCTGTTGTTGTTGATGGTGATGTGCTGGTGAGGAAGATGTTGATGTAATGTGCTGTGGTAATGAATCTGGTGTATCTAGGGATTTGGTGATATCATAACGTCTTATACTATCGGCCACATCGGAATATTCTATGATTTCCTCAATGTCTGGATGGCTTGTGGATGACTGTGCATGGGGTGTGGGTGGTGTTAAGGTGGCCGGGTGATTTGGTGGCAATGGTGGTGGTGTGTGCATAAATGCATGTGTTGGTGTTTTGGGCGTGAGGGGTGTAAGTGGTGAATTGGGTGTTAGAGGGGGTGGTAAATTAAAACTTGTATTCATGGTTAGCTGAGAATCAAATACATTATTGTGGCGTCTGCTAGCCGAGCCTGTCGATGATGATGAAGCAATTGAAGCTGATGAAGATGATTCAAATAAGCCAGGACGATATGAGGATGATGAATGATGATGTTGTTGTAGCTGTGTTGGTGATAAATTATTATCACCACCACCTACCACTATATGATTGCTATTATTTGTGGGAGATCTTTGTTGTTGGTGATGTTGAGCACTATTCGTCTGTTGATGGTGATTACGTTGTTGAGCTGGCGTTGCCTGTAAAGCTAAACCTACATAACCATCGTTATTGGAAAAATGATGTTGTTGCAAAACAATAGGAAATGGTGGACTATTAGGATTACGATAACCATTAGGTGATATAGGTTGTTGCTGTTGATGGTGATGCTGTTGTTGTAAAGTAGAACTTTTGGCTGGTCTAGGTGGTGGTACCTTGTTGGATTTATCCCTGGCGGAGGGCGGTGGTACAGGTGGTAGATTAACATAGATTTCCTACGGAATTTATTAAAATATTTAATATCATATTTTAATTTTATATCAACAATTACTCACCTGCATTTGTTGTGCTATTTTTTCGCTATCTTTTAATTCTCTTAGCTTTTGCTCTTGTATATCTCTCTCTAACTTATCAGCTATTTCTTTGGCCACTCTTTTATCATGCTCTTCCCTGTTTATACAAAGTAATTAAGTATTAAGTTTAATTTAGTTTTGCATACTATTTATAAAACTTACTGCTCTCTTAGTTTTCTTCTATATTGCTCTACTTGCTTATCTGCTGTTTCTTTTTCTTTGATTTGCTCTTGTAAAGCTGTGGGAAAATCTTCACGTACTACTGCATTACGAGTGCGATTGCCTTTATAGAAATCATTAACTGAAAGTTAAATTTATGGAATATTAGTGGTTTAAAAGAAGGTTGTTGTTTTTAACTTACTTTCTTGCGACTGTAACTTATATGCCAATGCACCATCTTCTCTCACTAGCCATTCTTTGCAAACTGAAATTAAATAGAAAGTGAAATTAATTAATATTTGTTTGTACTATTATAAGAATTTGTAAAGTTTTTGAAAGAAAATCTTATTTTCATTATTTTAAATTAAATTTTTGTGATATACACGAGTTCCAAAATATAACTGAAATGGTAACTAAACTTGGAATGTACTAGAACTAAACTAGAACGGAACAAGAACTGAACTAGAACTGAACTAGAACTGAACTAGAACTGAACTAGAACTGAACTAGAACTGAACTAGAACTGAACTAGAACTGAACTAGAACTGAACTAGAATAGAACTGAACTAGAACTGAACTAGAACTGAACTAGAACTGAACTGAACTAGAAATGAACTAGAACTGAACTAGAACTGAACTAGAACTGAACTAGAACTGAACTAGAACTGAACTAGAACTGAACTAGAACTGAACTAGAACTGAACTAGAACTGAACTAGAACTGAACTAGAACTGAACTAGAACTGAACTAGAACTGAACTAGAACTGAACTAGAACTGAACTAGAACTGAACTAGAACTCAACTAGAACTGAACTAGAACTCAACTAGAACTGAACTAGAACTGAACTAGAAATGAACTAGAACTGAACTAGAACTGAACTAGAACTGAACTAGAACTGAACTAGAACTGAACTAGAACTGAACTAGAACTGAACTAGAACTGAACTAGAACTGAACTGAACTAGAACTGAACTAGAACTGAACTAGAACTGAACTAGAACTGAACTAGAACTGAACTAGAACTGAACTAGAACTGAACTAGAACTGAACTAGAACTAGAACTGAACTAGAACTGAACTGAACTAGAACTGAACTAGAACTGAACTAGAACTACTGAACTAGAACTGAACTAGAACTGAACTAGAACTGAACTAGAACTGAAACTAGAACTGAACTAGAACTGAACTAGAACTGAACTAGAACTGAACTAGAACTGAACTAGAACTGAACTAGAACTGAACTAGAACTGAACTAGAACTGAACTAGAACTGAACTAGAACTGAACTAGAACTGAACTAGAACTGAAACTAGAACTGAACTAGAACTGAACTAGAACTGAACTAGAACTGAACTAGAACTGAACCTAGAACTGAACTAGAACTGAAACTAGAACTGAACTAGAACTGAACTAGAACTGAACTAGAACTGAACTAGAACTGAACTAGAACTGAACTAGAACTGAACTAGAACTGAACTAGAAACTGAACTAGAACTGAACTAGAACTGAACTAGAACTGAACTAGAACTGAACTAGAACTGAACTAGAACTGAACTAGAACTGAACTAGAACTGAACTAGAACTGAACTAGAACTGAACTAGAACTGAACTAGAACTGAACTAGAACTGAACTAGAACTGAACTAGAACTGAACTAGAACTGAACTAGAACTGAACTAGAACTGAACTAGAACTGAACTAGAACTGACTAGAACTGAACTAGAACTGGACTAGAACTGAACTAGAACTGAACTAGAACTGAACTAGAACTGAACTAGAACTGAACTAGAACTGAACTAGAACTGAACTAGAACTGAACTAGAACTGAACTAGAACTGAACTAGAACTGAACTAGAGCTGAACTAGAACTGAACTAGAACTAAAGTAGAACTGAAGTAGAACTGAAGTAGAACTGAAGTAGAAACTGAACTAGAACTGAACTAGAACTGAACTAGAACTGAACTAGAACTGAACTAGAACTGAACTAGAACTGAACTAGAACTGAACTAGAACTGGAACTAAACTAGAACAGAACTAGAACTGAACTAGAACTGAACTAGAACTGAACTAGAACTGAACTAGAACTGAACAAGAACTGAACTAGAACTGAACTAGAACTAAACTGAACTAGAACTGAACTAGAACTGAACTAGAACTGAACTAGAACTGAACTAGAACTGAACTAGAACTGAACTAGAACTGAACTAGAACTGAACTAGAACTGAACTAGAACTGAACTAGAACTGAACTAGAACTGAACTAGAACTGAACTAGAACTGAACTAGAACTGAACTAGAACTGAACTAGAACTGAACTAGAACTGAACTAGAACTAAACTAGAACTGAACTAGAACTGAACTAGAACTGAACTAGAACAGAAAGGTATTTGCCTCTTCTTTAATATAAATGTATGATCTGCATAGATCTCGATGAAAGGTAAAAAAAATCATAAATAATATGCTTCACTTAAACTGCATCTGGGATATATCTGAATTTATTTGATTATATGGTTTTATTTTCTTTCGAAAAAAGTAGGGCGAGCAAGAGGTAAAGGGATATGAGTCATCATAATTTTCTCAACATCACCAATAAAACGATTGATTGACCATCCGATCGTTTCAAATCATTAAATTTTTATTAATGACTTTTTTTGAAAATGTTTAATGTTTACACACACTCATATCTTAACATTTATATGTAGTTATTTTTGTACCCCGCTGTTTTACGAGGAGTCAAGGTATCACTTTGAAACAGTAATTTCCTTAAGGGTTTAACAACTTGGTTGGCTCGATATAATTTTGAATAAGTTGAGATGTTTGCACTTATTATAATGCAGGGAGAAGGTCAATCATTACCTAAGTTCTCCATAGGGGAAGTCAGTTACCACTTTATTGTACCAAAGTAATGTAATAAGTAGGGAGTTACTTTAATCTTTCTTTTTTGCAGTTATTGAATCTATGAGAAATACTATATTTAGAGTTGTAATGGAAGCTAAATTTCGCTGTCCTTGACCATTGTAGATTGTTATAGACTCCCCGAACTGCAGGGTATTTACCGAGTCATATGTCTGTCTCATAAACAAATAAATACAAGTGCGTATATTTTGTACGATTTCAATCAATTTTTTTTCTCTCTCTTGATATTAAATTTCTTTAATGTCAATATTTGTCAAAAGTATTTTATATCAATTGTCTGGAATTTCATGGCACTTTCGCTTAAGAGGTGGTCTTCTTAGAAGAACAATGGGAGCAATATTGATTAAAGAACAAATGGAAAAATAAACGATCATGAAAGAATATGATTTTTTTTGAAAAAATACTTCATGTGTGTTAATCAATTTAATGCGACACTTGAGAAGGGAAAGGGGGGAGGGAAATTGTTTTTTGTTTCTTAAGATGATTGAGTGCCCTACACTACACATATAAATATCTGGAATATTTAAAGCAAATAAATGGTTTTATCAAGTGATCGCAACTAGTAAGAGAATGGTGATTCTATGTTCGTAATGTTCCTAATATTTATATGGAAATAATTTGAAATTGACGATCATTTTTTAATTTAGGGTGTTAATGGATCGTTTAAGCCGCTTATTTTCTCTCAAATGTCATAATTTGTTAATAGTTTAATATTCTACATAAATATATTCGTGACTTTGTTTAATGGTGTTTCTTTATATCGTTTCAATTTTCTGTTTAAATTCTTTATTGTTGTTTTTAAATTGATTTGTTTTTGTTGTTGTTTTATATAAATTAGCATTTCTAATGATTATAAATGATTTGAATTGAAAGGAAGGTTCGTGTTAAACAATATCGAACAAGTAATAATGATAATGATCTTGTGGTTTTTCTTTTGAACAAATGCAAACGTGAATACAAAACGTAATTTTCCAAATCATTAACTGGATTTGAAATTCGAAATCTTCAAAAGAAAATACAATATAAATGCTTATGTTCGAAACATTTTAGTCCTCTCATGATGATCATCATTATGATCACTTCCAATTCATTGAAATGTATCTCACACAACACTTCACAACCCTTATGTTAATGCGGTTTAAGGTATTTTTATACCCTACACCACTTCAGTGGGGAGGGTATATTGTGCTGATGTTTGTGCTGATGTTTGTAACACACAAAAATAGTGGTCCTATACCCACCTTAAAGTATACCAATCGGCTGAGAATCATTTTCTGAGTCGGTTTAGCTATGTCCGTCCGTCTGTCCGTCCGTCCGTCCATGTAAACCTTGTAATCAAACTACAAGTCGCAATTTTGGAGATAATTCAATGAAATTTGGCACATGATCTTTTATGGAACCGTAGACGAAGCCTATTGAAAATGGTTAACATCGGTCTATTATTTCACCTAGCCCCCATAAGACTGAACCCCCCGAATAGGGCTTCTCCACAAAAAGCTGCAAAAACCAAGTTCTATACAAGATTGATGACCCTCACGAATTCCATAATAATAGGTCCTCATATGACCCTAGCCCCTATGAAAAGCCCCCATCAAAATTTCACTTAAATATCCACAATTTTATTCAACAATAAACGGCTTAAGTATGTATATCTGAGGCAAGGTACAATTCACTTTAAATGCTTTATTATGGCAAATAAATCACATTATATTTTTGACAAAGGTGTAGGGTATTATATGGTCGGCCTCGCCCGACTATAATTTCTTACTTGTTTTTTTTAAATTGATCATGTGTAGTTGTTTTATAATTCCTTTTTTCTAATAATATTTTTTTGTTTATATATAAAAAGTGACTATTTTTTTATTGTTATTGTTAATTTGAACTGTGTGTGTGTAAGTTTTCAAATCATCATTAATTTGTGTCGTTTTTTTGAAAAGCGGCTTAAGGCTTAAGAATCTGGTTTTATGTAAAATAATTAATATTAGAATTCTCTAAAGACCTCTTGTAATTTTAGGGGATCTGGAGACTAATAAGTTTGGTAGAAGTGTCATATCTTTAGAAAAAGAAAATTTTACAATTAATCATTATTCAGGTTTGTTTGTTACTTCTTTAAACTCTTCAAATATCAGTTCAAACCTTCACCAAGACTAGAGCTAACGTACGTAACCGAAATCAATCACACAGTTTTTTTATCAAAATACAATCCCATTTTCTTTTCAAAGATTTCATAAACGTTCGCAATTTCTAATCAAAATTTTTAAATTAAAACATAAATCTTATACAAAACTATTTCAATTATTTACTATAACTTTTCTAAACAAAGAAATTTATTTTCACCATAAATTTGTTCATT